TCCACATTAACTTATCCAGTATAGCTGTTCTTCAAAATAGAGATATAAGGTATTTCCATGAAAAAGAATAACTCAGAAGATATGTGACTACTAAACAAGCTCTAGAGAAAATACTCAAAAATATTCTAAACAGAAACATAGAATTGGACACACCTAAAAACATAGAGGAAATTAGTGAGGTCAAAGGATAAACAACAATAAAAAACATCAGGAAAAGTAAAAAAATGATATACCAAGAAATAAAGAAGGCAATGGTAGTAAATAATCAACACATCTCTAATGTTGCTCAATGTTAACAGCATCAACTCTCTAATCAAAAGACAGACTGGAAGACTACATCAAAAAAAACATAACCCAACAATCTATTACATTCAAGAAGCTCATCTAATCCAAAAAGTATTTCAACCCCTAAATATTTTAACCCCTTTTCATAGACTAAGAAAGGGTGGAAAAAACATTTCATGCACCAGAACCCGGAAAACAAGCAAGGCTATCAATTCTAATATCAGACATAGTAAACTTCAAGTTAAAATAGACTACATGAGACAAAGTAGGTCACTACATACTAGTTAAAGAACAATCCAACAAGAAGAGATAGTATTGATAAACATATATGCACCAAATACTGGAGCACCTATCTTTATAAAACAAAATTGCTGAAATTGAAAGATCAAATAAATAATAACACAATCATAGTAGGAGATTTTCCCACCCAGTTTCACCAGAGACAGATCAACTAAACAAAAAAGCAATAAAGAAATTTCAGAGCTGAACCACACCCTTGGATATATGGGCTTAAGAGATATATACAGAGTATTCCACCCCTCTAAAATAGCATATACATTCTTTTCACCAGCACATAGTACTTTCTCCAAAATAGATCACAAAATAGTCCACAAAGCCTGCCTAAGTAAATATAAAATAATTGAAATCACTCCGTGTATACTATTTGACCACTGTGCAATGAAAATAGAAATCAATGACAGAAGAAATTTTGGAAAAGACAAAATGTCCTGGAAGATTAAGAACATACTCCCAAACAAGCAATGGATCACAGAAGAAATCAAAGAAATTTAAAATTTTGTAGAAGTGAATGACAATGACTGTACAACTCAACAAAACTTCTGGGACACTTTTAAAGTAGTTCTAAGAGGAAAATTTATCTCGATCAACTCTCATATTAGGAAAACTGAGCAAACCCAAATAAAACCATCTTATGAGAAATCTTAAGATACTTGAGAAACCGCAACAAATGAGCCTCAAACCAAAACTCAGGAGGGAAAATATAAAAATGAGAGCAGAAATCAATGCAATTGCAACTAAAGAAATGGAAAAAAATTAATGAATCAAAGAGGTAGTTCTTTTGAAAGAATATATAAAATAGACAACCCTTTAGCATGACTCACCAAGAAAAAGAGAAAAAAGACTCACATCAATGCAATTAGAGATGACAAAGATGAAATCACAACAGATACTGGTGAAATCAAGAAGATAGCAACTACTTAAAAAAATTATATTCCAAAAAATTAGCAAATTTGAAGAAATGGACAGATTCTTAGACATATACAAACTACCAAAACTAAATCAAGAAGGCATACATATACTTAACAACTCAATAACAAGCAATGAAATTGCCTCGGTAATAAAGAATCTACCAACCTAAAGAAGCCCAGGACCTTATGGATTCATGGCTGAATTCTACAAAATCTTTGAGGATGTTATATCACCAATACTCCTCAAGCTGTTCAAATAAACTGAAAGGGATGGAGTGTCCTCAAATTCATTTCTGAAAACCAGTATCACCCTGACCCCAAAACCAGATATAGACCCATCTAAAAAAAAAAAGAACTATAGGCCAATCTCTTTAATGAACATAGATGCAAAAGTCCTCAACAAGATATTAGCAAATAGAATGCAGCATATTGTCAAAAAGATCATATACCATTATCTAGTAGGTTTCATCCCAGAGATGCAAGGGTGATTCAACATATGTAAGTCTATAATGTGATACATCACACAAACAGGAGCAAAGTTGAAAATCACATGATCATATCAATAGATGCAGAAAAGGCTTTCAACCCAACATCTTGTCATGATAAAAGCCCTGAAGAAAACAGATATAGAAAGACCATACCTAAATACAATAAAGGCTATTTATGATAAAGAATAGCCAGCATCATATTAAATGGGGAAAAATTAAAGCATTCCCCTTAAAATCAGAAACAAGAGAAGGATGACCATAATCACCTCTTCTTTTCAACATAGTACTTGAAACATTAGCCAGAGGAACTAGGCAAAGGAAGAAATAAAAGGGACACATATAGGAAAGGAAGAACTCAAATTATAATTATTTACAGATGACATGATACTCCACATAGAAGACTAAAAGAACTCTAACAAAAAACTCAGAATTAATAACTAATTTCAGCAAAGTAGAAGGATACAAGGTCAACAAACAAAAATCATTAGCACTTGTGTATACCAACAATGAATGGGATGAGAAGAAAATTAAGAAAACAATACCATTCACTGTCCCTTCAAGAAAAATGAAATACTTAAGAATAAACCTAATTAAGGAAGTGAATGAACTCTACAAAAAAACCTTCAGTACTCTGAAGAAAATATGGAAGAGGACATCAGAAAATGGAAAGGTGTCCCTTGCTCCTGGATCACCAGAAACAATGTTGTCAAAATGGGCATACTTCCAAAATGGTTATACAGATTCAGTGCAGTCCCAATCAGAATACCAACAGCATACTTCAGAGACATAGTGAAAACAATCCTAAAATTCATATGGGGCCAGAAGAGACCCCAAATAGCAAAAGCAATTTTGGGAAATAACAGCAAAGCAGGTGGCTTAACAATATCAGACTTCAAGCTATACCCCAAAGCAATAGTGATAAAAGCAGCATGATACCAGAACAAAAACAAACACATGGATCAATGGAACAGAATTGAGGATACAGAAACCTCTCTAGACATATTCAACTATTTGATCTTTGGCAAAGGAGCCAAAAACTTACTTTGGAAGAAAGATATCTTATCCAACAAGTGGTCTTGGAAAAATGGAATATTTGTACAAGAATGAAACTGGACCCTTATCTCTCACTGTATAATCATTTAAAACAAAAATAGATTAAAGATAAAATCACTAAACCTATTGAAGACATAGGTGTAAGAAAGGATTTTCTAAACAGAATCTCAATTTCACAAGAATAGCAGCAAGAATCAACATATGTGATTATATCGGTCTAAAAAGCTTCTGTACAGCAAAAGAATCATTCAGTAATGTGAGGAGACAGCTTACAGAATGTGAAAAAAATTTGCCTGCTACTCCTTCAACAGAAGACTAATATCTAGAATATACAAAAAATGCAAAAAAAAAGAATTAAACCACTTAAAATTAAAAACCTAGTCAAGAAATGGAATAGAAAAATGAAAGACACTTCACAGAGAAAGAAGCACAAATGGTCAATAAATACATGAGAAAATGTTCAACATCTCTGACCATTAGAGAAATGCAAATTAAAACAATGCTAAGATTCCTCTTTACTCTGGAAAGAATGGCAGTCATTAGGAAATCAAACCATAAAATATTCTGGTGTGGCTGTGGTGAAAAAGGAACTCTTTTGCATTGTTGGCAGAGACACAAACTAGTGCAACCATTATGGAAATCAGTATGGAGATTTCTTAAAGAATTAAAATTAGAAAGTCCATATGATCTAGCTATCCCTCTGCTAAGTGTCTTCCTCACAGAGCTTAAGTCATCATACTACAGCAATACTTGCATACACCAATGTTTATAATAGCACAATTTATGATAGTTAAATCCTGGGAACAGTCTGTATACCTATCAATACAAGATTGGATAAACAAAATGTGGCATCTATATATAATGGAATACTACTCCACTACAAAGAATGACAAATTTGAGACATTTGTAGGAAAATGGATGCACCTGGAAAATATAATGTTGAGTGAAATAAATAAGACACACAATCTTAAATACCATATGGTATCTCTCATTTGTGTGAACCAACGTACAAAGAAAATGACAAAAGATGGATAGAAAGAGACAAGGGGACAGATCTCATCCAATAGGGAAGTGATCCAAGGGAACAAGGAGAGGGATGAGGGGAGGGAAAAAGATAATGAGAGGAATAAAGATGTGCCATGGACAGGATCCTAATGTTTCCAATCAATGTAAACATTATATATCATAACATGTGCTAAGACAAATAATATCAATAAGTATGAAAAATGGTATAGGGAAAGCAGAAGAGCATGGGGGAGTGGGAGGGAAGGGGATTAAATAAACACAAGCGGGCAGGGGATTTAGTTTAGTGGTTTTGCCTCCTGCTGCGCAAGCACGAGGACCCGAGTTTGATCCCAAGTACCAAAAAATAAATAAATAAATAGATAGATAAATAAATAAATAAACACAAGCTGTAACATGTACATGTAACCACTCCCCAAGATGGCTGTAAACTGTATGAATTGTAAACATGTACTAATAAAATAAAAAATAATAATCTGCCTGTGATTAAAAAAAATTCTAGAAGATAAAAGTCACAGCTACCTGACTACACTTTTAATAAAACATTAGTTCTTCCCAGAGAAGAAATTTCCCATTTCTTGGTGTGAATGAAAGTTTCTCTGCTTTAAAGCCCTACTTTGAAATCTAGGGAAGCTGACATTTTCCATTCTGGAGTACGGTGAGGTCACTGGTTTGACGACTTTCTTTGCCAGAAGCTCTTGCTTTCATGGCATATGGTATCTTGGATTGCATCTTTTCTGATTGCCCAGAACGTCACCATCCTGTGGGGAATATTTACAAAGACTCTAGATCTAAAACTATAACAATCCCCTCTCTTGTTGAGACAAGAGTTTTAGCACCCTTAATATCTCTGTGAAGGATAATGCTTGTCACCTGACTGAGGCCATGGCTCCCACTTGATTGGAGCCCCTGATCTGTACATACTTGAATAAACATATCTTACCTTATATGGAAATTAATTCTACTACAATTACCTTCCATGCTGTTATTTTAGTTTGTAAGGTAAGCAGAATAAATTCCATTGTCCTTCAATAAATGCAGAAATGTGAACCTAAAAAGAAAGCAATGTTTTTAAATTTTTTATTTTATAAAAAACAAAATATTATGAGAAATATAATAAGAGACCAACAATAGTTAATACAGCATGTATCAATATTCTCTAAAGTGAATAAAATTTGGAGCGGAAACAAAATTAGAACTCAAGTCTCCTTTCAGCATTGTGGAAAATCTACTATATCAGATAGTTTGAACAAGGTATAGACAGAGTTGCTTCCACTTCTCAAGATACTTCAGTACTTATATGCTATTTTCTGTTATCACTTAAGAGCCTCTGAGATTCTGGGAGTTCTAGCTGAAGATCAGCAGCCACCTAGAACTGACTGAACCTTTGGAGAGACCCTAAAAGTTTCTGCTTCAGGTCCTAGTTGAGTGCACAATCTCAGTGTAATTGGTTGTTAAATATTTTTCTATACTATAGTAACCAATAATACTGAACATCCTTCCACTGCTCTTCATCTGCCAAGGATAGTTCTGTGTGCTTTGCAGGGATTATATTTTCATTCTTCCAACAACTCTATTAAGTAGGTACTACTTCTATTTTTCATTTTAAATGCTCTTGATCACTTGAGTTTTTTGCCACCCTGCTATAGTAGTATTAGAGGCCTCCTAAGAGTGACAGACTTGTATATATTTCCATACCTAACTTTATGTCTTGTGTATTACTACCAGATTTTTGAGATCTGTCATCTGATATAATTCAGGCATTTAAACTATACAATTCAGTGCCCTTTAGTATATTCACAGCATTTTGCAACCATCATCACAATCCATTTTAGAACTACTCCAAAAAACTGATCTTTCTATTCTGGTGGTAATTTGTTTTGGCTTTAATTCCATGGATAGTGGGATTGGATCAGGTCTGATTGCAAATCTGTCTTAGCCACAGATTGAGAACAGAGATCAAAGATCAGGTGCTGCAGGAGGCAAGCAGATAGCACCAAAGTGTGATCAAGCATCAACTCTGGAGGGAACCTCTGCAAATCAGAAGGAGCCTGCCCTTTGAAAAATGGCACAGCTACAAATGAGTTAGGTTGGAATATGGACTCAATCATTTTTCAAAAATAGCCAGAAATACAGAATTTTATTTGAAATATTCTCTCTCTCTCTCTCTCTCTCTCTCTCTCTCAACTGAACTTAAAATTCACAAAAACCTGAGAGCCATGCATGCCTGTAATTCCAGCACTCTGGAAGACTGAGGCAGAGAAATCAAAAGTTCCAGCCCAGCCGGAGAATTTTAGTTACTCAGAAGATCCTATGTCAAAATAAAAATTATAAAAGGGCCAAGGATATAGCTCAGTGTGAATGTCCTGGCTTCAATCCCTGGTACCACAAAAAAAGATTATGTAAGGTAAATAAGTAATGTCTGTGGGCTGAATTGAAATCTGAGTCACAAGTGTATGACCTTTTCATTCAAGGAGTAAGGAAACACTCTAAATTTTAGTTTTATTTGCACTATCTTTTCCTACCATTTTTCCAACTATCTAACTGGTATCTGACTTATCTGATCTTAGGGTATTGAGTTGAGTATGATTTTACCTAACATGATATGGACTAGATAGGTGCTTGAGGGACCCCCTCCCCTTCATCCTGGACCATCACTTATCTGTGCTCACCTCTCTGAAAAGATATTTGGATGGTATGTTCTTTGATTTTCAAGAGAGACAGTGTTTAGTAGGTTTATCCTATTGGGAACCCAAACTTGATACCCAACTTCAAGATGTCCTTCAGAGGCAATCTAAAGGAAAGACTGCAAAGCTTCCTCAGCTTCTAATTGTATCCCTGATATCAGGGCAATATGATTTGCCACAGAATATATAGCACTGACATGTCCCCTCCTTTTTTAGATCACTCTGCCTACCAGGTGTTATTGCTCACCCTTTCTACAGGCTGTGCTTGAGTGAATGCCTACATTAAAATTTGTGTTAAGGCTTAAAAATTATAGGTACTAAATCTCTAGGATGGTGTGTGGCCCTTGGCAGGTGCTCATTAAAAACAGAAGTATTGATTATGATTCTACTGGGGTTTGAGGGAAAACAGATTTCTGATAAGAGGAAAAGTAGCAGCACATTGCTCACCTGCCTTACCAATAGTAGAAATACAAAGTTTCTGATATATTACAGCCTACCTGCAGAAATAAAATAAATAGGCTTAGATTTCCTCAACCTGGACTTTAGCTGGTACCTACATCCCTTTTGCATAGTGGATATGAGAATATGTAAATCCAGTTAAAATCCAGGGTCCTGGATGTTTGAGTTGCTAAGGCTACCAAATAGAAAGAACATTACTCTGACAATGAATTCATCCCAACTTCTAACTTCTCCTGGCAAATCCCATAAAAACAAACAAGTATGCATCTCACAGGCATCAGATCTATAATAATAAATAAAGCAATTTAAACAACATAGTACCTTTTTATTCACTCCAATGGAAGAATCAAAATAAGATAGGGTTATTTTGAGTTAAATTGTTTACCTCCAAAAGCTATGTTGAAGTCCAAACCCCTGGTACCTGTGTATGTGACCTTGTTTGGAAATAAAGTTTTAGTGTATTTTGTGCTGCTATAACATAGTACCACAGATCAGGTAATTTACAAAGAAAAGAAATATACTTTTTATAGTTCTGGAGGCTAGAAAGTCCAAGATTGAATGGCTACATCTGATGAAAGACTTTTTGATACATTACAACATAGAAGAGGGCATCACGTTCAAAAAAAGCATGCAAGATAAAGAATGGGAGCAAGCAAACATTTAAAGAGAGCTCACTTTTATAACAAAAGTATTCTCTCAATAACTAACCCACTCTCAAAAATGACATTAATCTATTCATGAGAGTGGAACCCTCCTGACCCAATTACCCCTTAGAGGTCTCAGATACTGAAACAGTGGTGATTAAATGTCAGCATGGTTTTTGGAGGAGACATTCAAAGAAATAGCAGAATTTTTATAGGTGTAACCAAATTGAGATAATATCAGAGTAGGATGGGCCCTCAATCCAATATGACAAATATACTTAGGAGAAGTGATGAAGGGACCCAGAGATGACAAACACAGAGGAAAAACAGCTATGTGAAGACACAGATTTACAGAGAAAATGTGGCTACGTGATGATAAAGGCAAAGACTGGCTTATGCAGTTATAAGCTGAAGAACATCAAAGACTTACAGTAATAACTAGAAGCTAAGAAAGAAAGCTTGCCCTTGACAACACTTTGATTTCAGATTTCTAGCCTGCAGAACTAGTACATGTCTGTTGTTTTAAGTCATATAGTTTGTTGTACTACATTACCACTGCTATAGGAAACTAATACAGGATGTATATAGTAGGAGTGTACCCTTGGAAGTCAGAGAAATTCTGACTCTATTACATTCTAACTGGCCTTGGGCAAATTATTTAAAATCTTGGAGCCTTTATTTCCTCATTGATAAAACAAGAGAACCATTAACTACACTATAGGATTATTATGAGCATTAAATAAAGTATTTGAAGTTGAAAGTATCTACCACATAAGAATGGTGATTGTTATCATTATCATAAATGTGTATTTCAGGAAAGAAATTTAGTTTAAAGTGCATAAAACTTCACATACATATATAGAGTATGGTTCAGATATTTCTAAGGTTGATACAGTATAGTAATTTCTTTTTTGAAGACTAAGGAATATTTATTGAGTTAGAGACAGTCTGCCTGAGAGGGACAGGAAAGGACACCCGGAAAGTGGGTTGCCCCCAGAATAGTAATTTCTAAAATATTCACTGACTATTAAGTACATACATATCCAACAAAAATGCATGCCTAGCCTGTTCATAGCAGCAGCATTCATAGTAGTAAAAAATGTCATTCATATGGGTATTAACATTGAAATGAAAAATAACCTGTGGTATATTCACACAGTACAATGCTCTACAGCTATTAAAATAAGTTAACTATAAGAATATGAAAAAAAAAGAATGAATATCCCAAACATAATGTTGAGTGAGAGAGTCCAGAAACAAGACAAGTACATAGTCTATGATTTCAAACACATGTATAATTTAAAAATCAGGCAAAACTAATATATATTGTAGAAGCCCTAATACTGCTTGCTTTTGGTAAGAAGTAGTGATTCAGAGGGTCATTTGTCAGGCTTCTGAGGTTCTGATAATGCTCTATTTCTAGATAAGGTAGCTGGTTACTAAGAGTGTTCATTTTGAAAATATCAAGCTATGTAAATTCATGGTATGGGTATTTCCTGTATGTACTTTATGTTTCAATCAAAAGTTTTAAAAATATACCACTTGACCTAGTAATTCCACATCTGAAAACATGGCCCAAGGGAAAATAAAATATATGTCTGAGAATATTAAGCATAGGAATATAAACAACAGCAAGTTTAGAAGAAACTGCAAATATTCAACAGGAAAGGTGTGATTTAATCTTTTATGATATACCCACATACCAACTATTAGGCTAGAAAATAGTTTTATATTCATTCTTCAATAGAAATTTTTGTTTTAACCACTTTCCTAGGTTGGTCATAGGATGGTCAGATTTGATATTTAGAGATAGGCCAGACATTTTAATTTATGCTTCTGTGTTTTTATTTATATGGAGGGAAAGTGAGTGGCCTAAGTAATATATCTGCTTAAGTAACCTTCTGTTCATGTCAAAAGCACAAGAAAAAATGAGAGTGAAATGAAATGGGATTGAGCCACACAGTATATGAGGGTGAAGAACAAAAGAACATCAGTTATCTTGTAGATAGCAAGGGTTTCAACTCACACTGAATATTCAATCAATAGTGCTGGGGCAGCTGGCTAGACATTTGGAAAAGAAAGAAAAGTAGATTACTATTTTACTACTTATACCATAATAAAGTCCAGAAAGAACAAAAAGGGTAACTGTAAAAGCAATAGAAAATAACATGAGAAACTTCAAAAAGTAATTTTGGAATAGAGAAAATCTTTTTAATTATGATTTGAACCCTGAGACCCTAAAGGGACTATAAAACACTTAA